TCGAGTAATTTTTTTTTTTTTTTTCATTTGCAACTTTTAAAAGTACACACTGGTCCTGTGAAATCATAAGTGAAAATTGCAGCTCCGCAGCGCTATTTTAGAGGCCCACTGAGCGCCGACCGGCCGCTCAGTGGTCCTGTCCGAAGCTGCAATTTTAAAAACGTGAATTTTTTGAAAGTATCGGTAATTTCTGAACTCAGCGACCCTCAAGAGTCCCTAATAAAGCATTTTGCTCAGTTTGAACATTCAATCTGATCTAATAACAGTCAAATCCGACTTTTTTGCGCGCGAAAATCGGTCGGCGCGCGTTGAGCGGAAACTTCAATCGATCATAACTCCGGAACCGTTTGGTTCCCCAGCTTATACGACCACTCGTTGGATGCGGAAAAAGACGAACAATTTAAAAAACTGGTTTTGGTTCAACTAAAAAATTGAAATCTTTGTAAATTTTTCGTTTAAAAGAAATTTTCTAGACCTAAAAACTGGAAAAAAGCACATATGTTGACTTAAAAATGTGATATCGGGATTTCGACCTTTAGAATCTTAAAGTATGCAATTTTAGACGATTTTTCGTCCAAACCGAACTTCGATATCTTTCTTTGTTCAAGAGATATCGAGGTTCATAGGTTTTGACTTCCACCCCCCCTAGCTCCGCCTCAAAATTTTTTGGGGGTCTGAAAATTTGGAAAAAGAAGCGCTCAAGTATGAGTAATCAACAGACAAAGTCTGAAGAACTTCCAGAGGGGGGGCGAAAAAAGCCGTTTTTGCATCAAGCTCTTTTTATTTTATTTTTTTTTTGGGGGGGGGGCATATGATACTATTTTCACTTCTAAGAGGGCCAGGCCCCCCTGGACTCCCCCTTCGTTTGTCTATGGCAAGGGAGTTGAGCCATAAGCCATTGAAGTCGAGGATGCCCTGACTGGAGACTCTTAGCATCTGACGACGGAAGAAAATGAAACGCAGTTACTAAAAATATCCCTCTGTACTGAAAATCTTGAAAATAGATAGAAATTTTCCAGGAAGTATACTTCTTTGAAAATTTAAGAAGAATTCTACAGTGCCCCAGCGTGTTCCTGAAAATTTATTCACCTTTTGCGAAATTTTTAGGGTAAACTTTTTCACCTTTTCTTACGAAATAAGGGTTGCATGTGAATTCGTAGTGGTTTTTAACGGGTAACACGGGCCTCCTCCGGGGCCCGGGCCCCGGTACCGGGGACCTACCTTCCTTAACGAATTCTAGTGGCGTTCAGGTGTCATAGAGCATCCTAGATTGCTGCAGATTTAGCGCATAGTGTTGGTCTGGCTCAAAAATATTTGGGGGTGCTGATACTTATACGGGGCCCCCTCTAACTATAACCTGAATAATTATATAGCCTAAACTTATAACCTAAAGTCTTTCTTCATGTGGGTTATTCAAGTTTTGGGGGTCCATACAAGAGACCTGCCGGGGCTCTTTGAGCCATCTGTCAAAATTGGTAAAATCGTATATTTATGAAACACTCTGAGACTTAATCATGTGTCTCTGGATCAGCTTCATATCGATGTGTACCGAGAGAGTCAACCCAGGTAGCAGTGGCTGTTGAGAAAAGTTGTAAAAAACTTGTACATTTTAAGAGATCTCTTAAAATTTACCTTAAAACCACTTGAAATTACGTAAAAACTTAGGAGGAAACTTAAAAGAAGTTTAAAAAAAAATTCGTAAATTTTAAGTAAAAATTACGTATTTTTTTTTAACTTCCTGCGGGCAGAAACGAGGAAAAAAAGTGGTGAACAAAAAAGTATAAAAGGAACAGTTGCAGCCCATGAAAATTGTGGATATAGCTTATTGATTTTCACGTGAATTTTACGTTTCCTTTTAATTACAATAATACTATTTTTTTACTTAAAAGAATTCCCCAAAAGGGTTTCCTAAAACGAGTATTTTAAGAGTTTTTTAC